GAGGGAGTGGAGCAAAAGCAAGAGGGGAAAGAACAACAAATAACTTCTTCAAATTGAGACTCTTATTTATCACTGCCCTTGCTTTTCTTGCCTACATAACGCTAAATTTATATGCGACTCTTGCTAATAAGGCTTTATTTGGAGAGCTTGAATTGAAATGCAGTGGCTGCGTGAGGGCCAAGAGTTGTGCTTTCTTGTTGGTCTGGTTGGTTAACTGTCTGTGCTGAAGTCAAGGGAAAGAATGCGGGCCCATTAAACACAATAAAGAGACAGTGAGAAATACTGTGAGAGCGCGAGAGAGAGAGAGCGCCTGCGTGTGCGAGAGTGAGAGAGAGAGAGAGGGAGGGTGTGCCCTCGAGTGTACGTGTGAGAGATGTGAATGAGGACTAATCCCTGCACATCAGTGGATATTTGAGTGTCCGTTAACCCTTTCTGGATTTGAGTTTTAAAAATGTTTTTCAAGTCTGATAAAGTAAGGGCCTCTCAGATCGTGTTCATGTAATCCAAACAGTACTCGGGAGGGGAAAAATAACAACAAACAGGGATGTGGGTGTCCATTTCATTCTATTAGACACTCACACACCCGCTATGACGCAGGTAGAATATTCGGCATGACGATATTTTGATGTAAGAAAGTTTTTGGTTGTAGTATGTTGCGCTGCATCATATTGTAAAGCGCTTTCAACGTCCTATTTAATTTATTCAATGACGCGATAAAACCTATTTGAGAGCCGGCTGCGTAATACGCCATGCAATCATTTGAACACCAAAACAGACAGATTAAAAAACGTTAAACAAGGTAAGCATTGTCATCTTTGTCAAAACAACATCCAGAAGTTGACCTGTCTCTTGCGTTGGATCTCAGCAGATCAATTGTTCGTCACATTTCCCATGCCGTGCACTTGGAAAAAAAAAAAAGCCGTTGACTACAACTTATCACATTTACACACGAACAGACTAGTTTTCACACAACCCGAACACATGCAGCGAAGAGCTAAACGCAGACTTTTAGATGCTAACAGCTGATACTGAGTTGACTGTCAGCATTCCCCAACTTGTCAAAAGACTTTCACTCGCACGAGTGATTGGCGTGTCTGCCAATGCGGGTGGACGCCGTTGACAATGTTTCACCGACGGAATGCCACATGGCGACTCAGGCGTCAACCGAGCAGCGCGTCAGCTGTTTTATAGTCAGTGAATGATGATTGGTTTACAGGCTTTTGTAAATTCAATCTGTGGACGCATTGAAACTATGTGCACAACTTTTTTTTTCTCTTGCAACATGTTCTGACAGCACCATGTCCCTGGCATATGTGTGAAAGAAAAAAAAAAAGAAGTCAAATTAAAAACGTCACAGTTGGCTGCATTCTTGACTTGACTTGTCTGAACTGGATTCAGAATGATTGTTTTATTATACGCGAGTGTTTGGACTGCCATCAATGGCTAAACGCTCTGGCGTGAGAAGCGAAAATGTGTCGACGTCGAATAGACACTGACACACGCTACTGGTGCTGAGGCCAGACATCGACAAGAAGCTCTCATACAGTATTTGCATCAATTTTATAATGTGGCCTTTGTCACACTCTCTTCAGTTTTTCTCAAAGCAACAAAGAACATTTATGAAAGCCGTCGTAAGCTCTCAGCACGTAATGTGTGGCTTCACGCGAGCTGAAGTTGGGGACATGAGCGACCGTCCGCCCAGCCGCAATAAAGATTCTTTCTGTGCGTCTTCCTTATCGGAGCACAGTGCAGAGTACAGTCAGACGCGCCCTTTGACTCAACATCGAGTTTTGCTTTGAAAAAAACAATAACATGCTGTATATTTAAGCCATTGAACAAATGGAAATGAGTCTTGAATTGTCCCACCCATGACAGAATGGCAGCCCATCATCGTCGACATCTTACAGGAAGTAACAATGTGCAGTAATAAGGAAAGTAGTAGTTTGCCTTCCCCTCCCTATCTGACAGTTTCACAATGATGCCACAATCGTGACCCTTAGTTACAAAACTGTCATACTATGATTTAAAGTGTTTTTGTTGGACTGTTGCAGCAAGACTTTGGGTCAGATATTAGCATGTTTGTTGGGATGTTCTCCCCAGTCACCTCGGGGAGACCTACGCCCGTGCATATAACTGCCAAGTGCCCCACGAAAGGTGCTATATAAATCAAAGTCATTATTATATTATTTTTTTTTATTATCATTATTCATAGTAGTAGTGATATTATGGAGTGGAATGACAGTGCAGGCCTGGGAGCAACATAAGAGTGAAAGAGCAGTTTGAATCACGCTGTTCATTCAGAACATAAAAGTGTTGGCAGTGTCATCCAAAAGTGGATATACCTGATGGCATTTTTTTTTTAACTACATCTTTTGTATTTGGCTCTTATTTCCCTTTGCAAGGGTATGGCGTGCCCGGGAGCACAACATTAAGACTACAAAGTGTCCACACAGCTTTAGTCTTTAAACTGTACAGCCTACGATACACCATTATGTCATTCCTCGACGGAAATCGTGCCGAAAGGTAAGAACTAAAGAAAATTCAATTCAGCTTCGCTCTTCAGCACTACAAACTACCGTTTTATCTGTTGTTTTCATAGGTTGCATCGCACGCTGAAAGCGTTTTGGTCTATCCAGAGCACGTCTCAAAAGTTTAGAGTCGCGACCGAGTCACGCCAGCAGAAGTCACGGAGCGTCGGCGAAAGGAACTTTCAGCTGCCAAGTGAAAACTGTTCGAGTTGTCAAGTCAAAGAAAGCGTCGATCATTTCTTACCTGTTGCCGATGCCTCTGCGGTGCTGGCGTGCACACTGACAGGCTGCACAAGTTGACTTGTCAAGAGTTTGCCTGGTGGGTGGGTCCCAGGCTACACCTGCAGCATTCCGAAACAGCGTGCGTAGAGAGCGCGCGTCTACCCAGGAAGTGACGTCATGACGCACGCTCACGAAGTGTTGCTCAACCAGGTACCCGAGAAGGAAGAATGGAGGGAGAGCCAAAGAGTTCTATCTATCTATCTATCTATCTATCTATCTATCTGAGGTGGCAAAAGTACTCACTCTAAATAGGGATACTTGATTATGAACAGGAGAAATGTTGATTCCATTTCTTTCCCCATAACTAAACAGATTGAAATGCACCTAAAGTCGAAAAGTAAACGTGATTTTTTTGCAGTCCTCGTTTTCCTTACTTGGCACATCAGAAAATAAACTGCACACAAAGTTTGCCTCTTGTGAAAGTCATTCTGAGAGGGTGGAGGAGTGTATGTGTGTGTGTGTGGGGGGGGGAGGGGGGGTCTGATCACTGGACACAGCTTTGCTGCAAACTGTACTCTGACTGGATAATCAGGACTGACATGACTAGTCCTGGATGAGCAAATCAAAACAACATAACCCAAATGCTGAATTACATAACTTTTTTTTTGCCCTTGTAGTTAATGTTCTCTGGTTCACATACCCCCATGTTGCTGCTGTCTCTGTTTTTTATTTTAGTGTTTGTATTTTATTTTACTACATTTTTTTTAATTTCACAAGTCACCAAGATCTCAGTCTATTAACATGATGATGACATTTTCACATTGTCTCGTCAACTGTGGAGGTTGGAAAAAAAAAAGTAACTGGCCTATTTTGAACAATGAGAGGAGTAGAACACTAAGACATGCTTTTCAAATGTAGGGGGTCTGAGTAAAAAGTCCCCTTAAAAAAATCAACACGAGTAGTCAGGAAATTTACAAATTCCCCCCCCAAATCAACTTAAGTACAGTAATGAAGTATTGATAAAGTCGAACAATTTCTCAACACTGCAATCTGTTTATCTCTCGATACAAAAAGGCGGTGTCCTGCACGGTCCAGCCACCGCCCTCACCGGTTGAGATTTGACGACTTTGAACACTATATATGTTTACATTCACACTTGGTTGAATTGCAGACAATAAGCAGTTGGTGATTCAAGTCATCAAGGTCGCAATAGAAACAGTTTCTTGTAACGACAGTTTGCGAGTGAGCTCCCGAAGATGATTGTGGGTTCAACAGCAGCTGGTTGCTATGAGGTTGGCCTGAACACAGGATTGCTTGTGTTGCTCAAAACTGGTAATCACGCCTCACATTCTTCCGTGCATGGTCTGGGAAACACACCCATTCAACAGGTTGGATACTACAGGTATCTTACTCCAGAAAACACACATGCAAGAGCTTGACTGTGAAGAAATTAAACATGCTTTTAAATTGTGTAAATTGTCTTCCGAATTGGAAGTGATGTTGGAGTCCAGTGAGGTCAAATCTACAACATTCTAGTCTTGAAATATATAATTACAAGTGCAAAATGTGGCAACAGTAAGCATAAAGGTCCTCAAGGTACAATTTTTTTACAAACTTTGTGCACTTCATAGGGCCTCCACGGCGACTGTGGGCAAGGCGAGGCAGCTTTACATATCTTAGCACATTTCGTCCAGTAGGTAACTCAAAGTGCTTCACATCATTAAAAGTACAATACTTAAAAGCATTTACAAGCAAAATAGTGATCGACACTTAAAAGCAAAGTAAAGAAATAAAAAAAGCTCAATAAAATGACCAACAGAATTTACAGTGCAAGAACATGTTTTTGGAGAACAGGTTTTGAAAAATGCTTTATATTCACCCTAAGAAAGTGAAAAGAGCACATTTTTGCCTGACTTCACTTCTGTTGGCAGCTTATTCCATTTGTGTGCAGCATAACAGCTAAATGCTGCTTCATCATGTTTGCTTTGAACTCTGGGCGCCACCAAGTGACCCGAGTCTTCAGACCCCAGAGGCCAACTGGATTTATCTTCCTTTTGCATTTTGATGTCATATTGAATGTTGAATTGACAACGGATGCCCACTGGAAAGCTAGGGTTGGTCCCGAAGACGACATTAAGGGCACGGGTACATTTGAATATTGTCATGATCTCACAGCAACGCATCTGAAGTGGAATTTGATGAGTTGCTTGAATTGTAATCTTTTCAATCTTAACGCTGAGTAAAATAATCCCTGTTATATAATTGTGAATCCTTCCATTGGTTTGAAGCAGTCGTGGCTGTGTGTGTCACCTGTTGTTCAGGGTGTGACTGGAGTGAAATTCTGAAGATGGGAGCGTCCCACGAAAAGGCAACCTTTACTCACGCTGATAACTCCCTCTGCCGCAATAACTTACATGAGATAGGCGGCTGATTCACTTCAACAGTTATGCAGAAAAACAGCTCGCTTTTGTGCAATGCTGCAAAGTGCTTAGTAAGTTTTTGCTCCTGTCGTCTTCATAACCTCTGTGACCGAGAGTTCGTCTGCTAATACTCAACAGTGTTTTTTTTTTCTCTTGAACTTGATGAGAAGCCTTTCAGAAATCATTCCAGTAACAAAACTCAAGAGTTCAGACCGAAACTGACGCCGCCGCGATGGGGATTTACTGCTTCAGATCATTTATATTTAGTCAGGTAGCTCAGATTTATCGACATTTTTTTAGGAATTACTTTGGACAAAAGCATATAATCCGATGACCAACCAAAAGCAGCAAAAATATCATCAGTCAAGAATGTCGGCGGACATCAATGCGAATATAACTAAACAATGACGACACGGTGCACCAGAGGAGAATTGGCTCAGGGTTATTTTTATCTGCAGGTGAGCTCAACCCAACACGTGTTGCAATTTCATGTTTCATTAAACACACGTAAGGCATCCGATATCAGGTTAGCGGTCGGACATTGTCACAACGTTTAGTTAAAAATGTCCTTTACTTGACAGATAACAACTACTACAATTCACCCTTTCAAGAGAGCAAGTACTGGAATGACAAACGGGATGTAATCACCACTTGGCCAGCCTTATCGCTCACAATTGATTGGCCGTTCAAATAGATTTGGAAACAGCAGAAAAACAACTATTCATATGAAAGGTGAGAAGGTCAGTAGCTGGACGGTAAGGCAAACATGACACATTCTTTCGCTGAGGTCACCGTAACTTGTAACTGGGAGTGCTTCTGCAATCTTGCCTGTCCAATCCAAACAAAAACATCAGTCGCAAAAAAAAAAAAAATGTGTTCTGTTACAGTCGACTTGCCCGTGGAAAGAAGGGAAGTTGGCACAATGGAATTGCATTCCTATGGCGGCCACCTAATCCAAATTTCTACAAAAGTTTGAACGCACTATTGAGCGTATCACTTTTGTGCGCTGACGTAGTCGTGAGGTCAGAAATCAAGCCAAGGAAGAGTGATGGTGGTGGTAAAAAGGAGGGGGTCTTAAAAAAAATCAAGCCACAATGACTGGCTCCTATCAATGTGCAGGAGGTCCAACTTTTGGCGCACCGTGATGATCCTTAACCTCCTCACTCCACCACTGCATCAGCCAGTGTCAGATAAAACGACAGTGTGACAGTAGAAGCCGCATCGATCTCTCTTCGAATGCTCCTTCTGTGTTCGTCAGCAAGAAGGCAAGATACTTGCAAGTCCTTTCAATGAGGTATGAATCCATTGGAGCCTGGTCATCGGGGAAGAGGGTTTCCCCACCATCTGTGGCCCCTTCTCAAGGTTTCTTACTTATTCCCTCCCACGTAGAGTTTTTGAGATTGCCTTGCCCAGTTGCGGGGTTAGATCAGGGAATGTCGCCAATATCTGTCAACTGTGGGCTTGGGAAGCCCTCGGAGACTCTTTTGTGATTTAGAGCGACACAAATAAACTTGACTCGACACAATCTGATCCTTTAAAAATGTACTACAGTGTGATCCAAGCCCAAACAAATCCAAACCCCATTCGTTATTGAAATATAAAATGACCGCAGTGGATTTATTATTGCTACGCTCCATTTAATTTCATCCGACTCGTGCTGTAAAGTTTTTGGATGCGTTGTAGCTGAACCCTGATGGAAAAGACAACTCTCCACCAAATACTCTTCGCTGTTACTTTTGGGTAATCCATGTTTTTTCTCACATGTCATCATTACTTTAGGAGGTTTCAGAATTTAACGTTGTTGTTGTTGGAATGTTTAGAGTAGAAAAACATTATCTATTCCCTTTCTTTTTTTTTTAGATGACCTCAGTTATATTTCATAGAAAAAATGCAAATTCAGACATGGTCCACATATCGCTGCCTGTCAGTTAAACGTTACTGTATGATAATTAATCGTGACAACAAAGGACACGAGTGGAGATTTTGGAATTCAACTCATTATTGCAGGAAAACTGGTACAGAGTAACAGATTACAAAGCTCTTGGCACAGTCACAGAAAAACAGAAATGAGATGCGTATGTACAACAGGGAGGGAGAAGAAATCAACACGTTGGCGAAGAGGGTAAGACAAAATGATGACAATGCGAAATGACATGATCATAAAAACCAATGGAAAATTGTGGAAAGGAAATGTCGCAAAAATAACATTATGAAAAAACACATTTATTTTACACTGACAGATCAAATCCTAGCGTTCAAGCTAGGTCCGATTCGAAGCAGCACGGCCTTCTGACACAAAAGTCAATTGTCATGGCAAACATTAAAATCAAACTGAAACTGCCTTGCACGCCATCTGAAATTGTTTTGGGGAAACAGCTGATACGATCATTTGCTGACAACTTCTTCATTTATATTAGAAAAGTCCAATGTTACGATTGTTATTATTAATTCTTCTTATAATTTTTTATTTATTTATTTTTTTTTACAAAACTTGATTACGAATCGTGTTCCGCGGGACTTCCATTTACACCTCGAAGAAATAAATACACAGGCGTCAGAGCAGGCCCATTGCCACAAGAGTCGTTTGAATCGACGGACTTTCTTTGGGTACATCAGGTCACTTATTTCCCGACACTTCAAGTAAATTCACGTCGGTGTCATTCAACACACAATCAAAGTTCTGCTGTGACAAATATGTTGGAGGATAATCCAATTTTATATAACAATGTTGAAATACGCACTTTTGACCCTCCCGCCCTGAAAAAAAATGCCTTGGCCTGGCTCTTACAGAAGATAATCATGTGACTTCCACTTCTGCTGGCCCGCAACTACGATGACAGCGCCGCGTACAACGGACAACGGAGAGTTGGCAACTGGCTGCTGTAAACAGACAAATACTATTTTATTAAAAACAGCTTCATCATCATTGTCACATCTCATAGGCAAGTCCTCACCCCACTGAAACCTCACAGAATTTGATTGGTAACTATTTACACTTTTATCCGGAAGGTAAAAAAAAAAAAAAAAACAACAAAAAAAAAAACAATTACAGTGGACATATTCTGAGGCATGGGGAAATCGAACAAATATACCGTTTTGATCTTGTCAGCCATCATTGTCCTAACATCCCGAACATCTCCAACATGATTTAAAAAAAAAAAGTTGGTGAATTTCTGATCTTACAATGACTTCAATATGACATTTCCTTTTTTTAAACACACATTTTCAAAATAATCCCGGGAAAGGGAAAAAAAAAAAAATCAGCGTTCTAAGAACACAAATAACAACATCTACATGTAAAAATATAACTTTTACATACACAATTTCAAAATATGGGTTCGGTTTGCTGTTTTGTTGCATACAATTTACAAAGTCTGTGTGTCACCGCCATGATGGATAGCGGTGAGTGTCGCTGTTGGACCTCCGGTGCCATTTTGTCCTGTGCACGGCGCCATATTAGTCAGAGGCAGAGGTTGTCATGGCAACATAAGAAGAAATAACAGAATCCGCTGATGAGTTGTAACACTGGGGGCCTGGCAGTTCAGTCTTTGGAAAAAAAAAAATGTATTCCTCCCCCAGCAAAATGCTTATTTGCAACAGAGGAAAAAAAAAGAACCCAAAATAAAAACAAATGAAAAATTTCACCCTCCTTATATATTGTATATATTTTTTTGTACATTTATATATAAATTGATCTATTCAAATAGATTATTTTCCAGTTTCTGTGCCCTCCCGTTGATTGAGTAGGATTTTAACTGTGCCAAAATGGACGCTTGTCAGAGAACAACACTAACGATAGTAAATTGTGTTGATTTTTATTTTTTTATTTCTATTTTCTGTAATAGACATGTAAACCAGAACATACAAATAAAAATGAACAAGAAAATTATTTTCCTTAAAAAAATAAAAGGAGGAAAAAAAAAGCGCTTTACAACATACAACCACACACGTTGTACTGGAGACTACATTGGCCCAAGGAAAAGCCCATCAAATATTGATAAAAAGCTGATCAGCTATATTACAAGAAGAGACGCGTTCACCATGAAAACGGGGCCTTGGTGCAGGATTATGGATGTCTTCCAAGGGGCTGGGAGAACCGGGGCGAGGGCTCGTTTTGCTAAAAGCGTCTGTCAGAACACGCTCTAGTTACACATAAGCATACAGTACATCAAATACACTTTATTTTTCTTTTTGTTTTTAAATCCCAAAAATACTTTTTTTATTTTTTGTTTTCTTGTTTGTTTTTTTCCAACTTTTTTTGATTTTTTTTTTAAATTCCCAGGTCTGGTATAAAAACCTGACTGCATAGAACCTAATGACCAACAACAGGTTTCCCTAAGCTTGCATCCTATGAAAGACCAGCTCCTCCTCTGGCAACTCCAATGATATGAACTCTAAAAAGGCACATTGGTAGAAGTGTGAATGTTCAAATTGCATCTCTGGGACCGCTCTGGGGCTAAGGGATTGGATGGGGGGGAGGCGGGTGGGGGCTCTAGACCACATTGTTCGGGCTCATAAGGCTTGGATCAGCACAAAGGACAGCACTGAGCTTGAGAATCAAACATATTGGTTTTCAAAGATGTCAAACTGGTGGAGGTAAAAGTGTAAGAAACAATATTCTGGTTGGCCTTGTCTGTTTTCAGAGGTTCGACATTCACTGCAAACTGATACGATCGGGCACGACTCATGACTTTTACTGTTAAAATACAGCACAATGTCTCATACTGAGACTTCAAATAACAACGCAGATGATTCGGAAAGAAAGAAAATCACAGGAGTCCGTCCGTATAAAAGGTTGGCGGAAAAGTACGGCGGGGCCCCCTGGACGTCAAACAGTTTGATGGTCTGAACTGAAAGTGAAAGGAAAAAAAAAAAAAAAACTCGGACTTTCATACCAGATGTTTGGCCAGATAGAGCAACCACGGACTGCACAAAATTGAGGATGAGATGAGATGGTTCTTTTTTGATGGGAATGCTTTACCAGCGTTGACACTCGTCGCTATGTGGAGCTGTCCTGCATGTTAGCAAAGACCAAAATAGCATCAGGAGAAAATCCAAAGGCGACGTCATGTTGCCCATGGTTCAAACATGAAGACAACCCCCGCTAATTTGAGGTATTTGGGGACATGTGAGAGGGTTTAGCTTTGGATGAGGCTTTGGTTCGATGAACCAATTCACAAAGGGTATGGCAATTTAGTCACCGACGCGTTAGCCTAAAACTGACCGATTTTTTTTTTTTTGGTCTTGCCTTGCTGCAATGTGATCCAATATTCTCTTTGGCTATTGAAACCTGATGGAAGTCGGTCCATTTCACTGCCGGGTTGACTTCCTCAGCACTCCCTTGAGCGGCGTATTTGCGGAATGTGCAGAAGGCGTCCTAAGATACACTTCCATTACACAGTTCTATTCTCTTTTTTTTCCCCCCTATCCCGTGGCCTTCTTTGATGCAAAGATATACGGTGAGGCGGGATGTTTTTGTTGAGGCTGTGATGATCAGCTTTTGCATGATCACAAGCCCTCTTGACCTAATTCAATATGTCTACATTTTGTCTGTCTGATTCGTCCTTTCTTGGTGCAATTTCCCAACTCGGAGTGATCGCAGTACCCCCAGCCCCTCGGTAGATTTGTTTATTTGCGTGTCCTGCACTTTAGCCCTCGGAATAGTAAGTATTTTTTTAAATATTTTTTTTGCATCAGCTCCCCAAAATAATCAGGCTTTCCAATTTTGCAGTCTGGTTACGATCTGCCGAGCAATGTCGCGTTTATGCCGCCTCTCGCCCAAAGTCAGCTGGAGGCGGGCTCCAGCTCACCCACAAGTACGAATAAAGATGGAGAAAAAAGGATGGATGGTTAGGAAACGGTGAAATGGTTATTCGCATGAAACATGAGTCAACATCGAGATGATACTTTTTGACCTGTGTGAGAAGGGGATTTTTTTTTTTCTGCTTTGACTAGGTATCATTTAGGTTAAAAAAAACATGTTTTTTTTTTCCCATCGCAAAAAATGCCTTTTTTTTTGTATCCATACTGAATCCGTGACCTGTCATCTGCAGGAAACTTGACGAGCGTTTGTTTTATGTCGTTTCTCCTTGTGTATCCATCTGACCGTTTCACTGTTTTGCATCCAAGAGGACGTCAGGCACAGCTTCATCCACAGTGTGGCATTAGTTTGCCGTTCAGTCAGAGACATGGTGAGGCTGCACATTGTTGCTCGAAACAAACCAAAAAAAAAAAAAAAATCTCTTCAAATATTTGATATGTTTTGTTTGCCTCCCCGATGCTCCCCACTGCATGAGTCCGTTTTTTGTGTGTTTTTTTTTTCTCTATATTTGTACATATACAGCACTACACAGATCTGATATCGAGCCCAATGTTCTTAAAACCGGGAATGGTGCTTGTTGTAAAAGTAGAAGGATTTCATAAATGATTGGTCGTAGGTTTTCTTTCCCTTTGCAGTAACTTCATGACAACATCTCCCACAAAGAGCCGACTGTTGCATGGGCCAACGGGCGTCTCCACAAAGCAGGAGTTCGTGACGGCGCGGTTTGTTTTGTTGAAAGAAGAGGGAGGCAAAGTTGAAGAGGAAGATTAGAACACGGAGGAAACCCCTAAGGCCTATCCGATTGGTCCGGAGAATCTTGATTGGTTTGGCCAAGCGACGGTGGGTTTGATTGATTGCTGGGGTGTCGTCGAAACACTGTCAGAGGAAGTGGTCACTCATCATTTTGATGAACTCTGGCACCTTGGACCTGGAGGGAGAAAGACACGTGCAGACATCATCAACAAATGGCGCTATAGCCATTTGTTTCGTGAATTGCAAAATCATCGATCAGAACAAAAATGCCAGATTTTTATGTTTATATTTATATTATCTCTCAATAAACAAAAGACCGTTTGCTATGCATCTCGATGCACATGGGTGCGACGCGATTCAAGAACAGCACATGTTCGAGCGGAACGGTTCCACAAGGTCCAATTCCGAGTGTTGCATGAACCTGTCATGCCGGTTTTTGGAATGCAGGAGGAAACCGGAGTACCCGGAGAAAACCCATGCAGGCACGGGGAGAACATGCTACGTGCTAACCAGCTCACTAGTTGACCACAGTGTCGCATGTTATATTATATACACACACACACACACACACACACACACACACACACACACACACACACACACACACACACAGCATATATATGCGACACTGTGGTGCTTGCTGTATCTTGGTCTGATATTTCTATTTGTTTGCTGATCTTCGATATCAAAGTTGGGAAAGCAATGCGCAAAAAAAGAATTTGATAAGATACTTTTACACGGCACTATACATACAATACGAACATACATGCGCACACCACACGCATAATACCATCGACACACACATACACAGGCAGGCAGACAGACAGAAAGACGAACGGACTGTACATAGTGTGCATGGGGTCCTTGGTTGACAACGGAGTTCCTGCCTTAATTTGATGTTAGATTGAATAGATATTGTGACGCATTTTTGTAGGTTTCTTCCCCTCTGCGGGTGTCCCGTCATTGGCAATAAATGACTTGATTCCTGAAAGCTAAAAATGTGACCATTGGCCATTCAAGCTGACCACCAAATTTACCTGAGTGTTTGGACTCACTCTTCTTTTGTGTGTTGCACAGCCAAGAACAGAACCGCAAATGCGTTTCTCAATAATAATAAAAAGACACAAAACGATGACGACAGAACATAAAGTCACACATCAAAATCACACTTACTGCCAATCTGTTGTTACAATGTACCCAGACCAGACGGAAAACTAAATCGTGTCCGGTTTCTTTTGTCCAGCTGTTGTATCATCAGCTCTGTACACATTTTACTTGTCAGGAACTGACTGTTTGAATTTCATGCCATTTTTTGGACTGCTTGGATTCATGGGATTGCATCATAATTTCAGAATCCAATCGAAATGACATCTTGTTGAATAACAGCATCATTCGCTCTCTTTTTTTTCTCCTGACATTTTTTTTTCCATCACAATAAGCTTTTCAAAAGCCCAAAGACAAATTCCATATGGATTTTTGTCAGATTGCAAGTTGCACGCCGAAATCATTCTGGACATTTTAACAAGTCGCAAATTTGGCTTTGAGTTGAAGGTACAACAGCAGATTAGTGAATAAGTGAAATCTTCTGACCATCAATGGGGGAGAAGATGTTGCTGCATTTTACATTTGTCCCAATGGGTTTGCGCCATCGCCCATGGCGGCGTGGTGCGCGGCGGCGAGTGAGAGGGGAGTGCCGTCCGATGCCACGGTGACTTTCTCCTCCTCGCGGCGTTTCAGGCAGGCCGCCTTCGGGTTCAAGTTTCTCTCTGGAAAATCGGAGGAGGAGACAGAAACTATCATCATGCGAAAACAATCACCTGCGCCAACAATGTTGACCTTGAAAAGCCGGGAAGAAAGAAACCTGGGCTCAACAAGGCATTGCTGCCCTCTCCTGGCACAGTGCGTGTTACCAGCCTTCAACAGATGATACTATTGATCGTTTACTGAGAGTACTTTTATTTGTGCACAGTGCCCTCTCCAAAAAAAAAAATTCAAAATGTTGTTTAGGTAGGAAAAGTATCCTGTCTGTTAAATCATTTTGTAAATGTGTTTATAAATGAGCGACACAAATAAGGTTGTGATAGAAAATAGTAGTCAAGTAAATATGTTTATGCAAATGACTGTACATGGTTCAATTCTGTGCATCCTTTATGGATAGTACACTGACCTCTGACTTGTTGCTCCAGACAACACAAATAAGGTTATTATAGAAAATTGTAGTCAAGTAAATACGTTTATGGAAATGACTATACATAGCGTGGTTCAATTCTGTGCTTCCTTTACGGATAGTACACTGACCTCTGACTTGTTGCTCCAGACTGAGGATGACCGCCACGGCCTGGTGAAGGATTAGTAACTTGGTCTGCGGCTTATCGCTTTTTAAGTGCAACTGGACCATCCGGCCGAGCTCCTTGAACGCCTCGTTGATGTCGCGTACTCGCAAGCGCTCTCGAGCATTGTTGGCCATTCTCCTTTCCCGTTCCCGCTCCATCTTCTGCTCCGGAGACAGGTCCTCATCGTCGTTGTTGCTATGGTGGCCAATGATGTGGACGAAAAGGAGAAGGCGGGCGGCGGCGGGGGACGTTACGGGTGGCGGTATGGGAGAAAGATTTGAGGATGGAAGTTCAGTTTCAAGGTCTTTTCTTATCAGCCGTCGGTGAACAGAAAAATGGATTCACATCATCAATATCATGACCGCCATCATCATGTCTAAGTCTCTGGGTTTGGGATCCAAATGGTTTTCAATTCATTTCACCTCCAGGTGGAAAACAAAAACCCTAAAACAAGTTGAACAGTTTTATTTTTTATTTTTATTTTTTTATTTCTGGAGGAGTGAAGGCTACTGAGCTGCATCCAGGGCGGGAAACGAATCGGGTGATTTTGATTGTAATTTGTTCAAATGCAGTCATTGATCATTGAAACAGGAAAATATATTACTTGTTATGTGTCCTAAATGGAAGTTTCTAGTCTTTTGTAATGTAAACTGTATTTTTTACAGTATGGCCGAATAAATTGATCCATTCATTGCACTGTAATTCTATAGACAGCGGCGCACGTCGGCTTGTGATCAAACATCTTTTGGTGCTGGTTTCCAGTCCCCTGAATGCAATGTAGCACTTCTTTGGGGAAAATTGATGGTGGGCTCTACTCTGCTGTGTGAGAAACAGTTAAAACCAGGCTCAAGACCGTGGAGAGACAAAGAGGATCAAACGGGAGCTTCTTGTCCACCAGAAACCTCTATTTTGACTCAACAGCGCTGCCGCGGTTCTCGGCCAAAAGCACTGGCTGAACTCAAATCCATTAGCAGCGGCCGCGCGTCCCAAAACAGAGCTGCCTGGTGATTTTCGAGCAAAAATGCCTCAGCATTAGCGGATGTATTTAGCTGCTTCTCGTCACACTTGGTCACTTCATCAAAGTCTAAAGGCTGGGTCCCAAAACCACTCACCATTTCAAGCCCTTCCTTGTTCAAGTGCTCTCTGAAAACCAGAGAACATTTTCCCATTCACTCTTTCTGCAAGAGCTTCGGTTATAAAGGCGACCGTCAGCTCGGCGGGGTCTCTCAGAACTGGAGATGCTTTGGGGAACCAGCCTCATGAGAGTTTTGATAGAAGCGAACATCTAAGAGGTTGGCGGGTTACCTAGATCTTGACCTATCAATTCCTTTGAGATCCTTGCTGTCCATGTCTTCCTTCTTGGGGTCCAAAGGCTTGGAGTCCTGCAGGAGGTTCTCATCGCCCTCATCCTCGGACTTGATCTCTGAGCTGATGGAAGAGGTGCTCTGGCCCTGAAGGCCTCCAGAGAGAGCTGCAAAGAGCAAAAACAAAGAGGTGCTTGAATGAACAAGCTAGCTAGCTAGCTAGCTAGCTGTCTGTCTAGCATAAAAACAATGCTAGCACCCCCAAAATATTTGAGAGCTTCATATTTTTTTTTTGAAAAACTGTTTGCTGTTTGGGGGGGATTTGGAGAGTGGTAAGTGCTCCAAGCACATATCGAATCGAATGGTAATCGCACTGAGCATATATTATAATTGATTTTCCCGGATGTTTTCACACAATGGCAGTGACAGTTTTGTACGATCCAACAAATTTGGGATTTTAAAGACGGACAGACAGAGAAGAATTCAATTTGAAATGACTATTATGACACTCATCTCAATTTTATGTCAGGATCAACAAAACAAAAGGACGGGGCGACGAAAACAGCCAAAGATCTGAGAGTAAGTGGACCGTGCGCAAGCTGTAGCGCAAATGTAAATGCCGCTCTCGCCTCCTATCCGTCTCTCTCTCTCCTCGGTAGAACAGTTAAGTCTTTATTTGACGTCTGTATGGATCGGTAACTGGGAGGCTGCCAAATTCTCTGTCAACAGAACACTCTCCTCTGTTCCCACACATACACCACCAACTGTCGGCCATTTTGAATCTCCGTCTGCCTGACTGGAGGCATTTTGTGTTCACTTTTGAGTGACAGCCTGTGTTTGGCTTCCATGTGTCCGTCAGTACAATTACTGTTACTTTGCGGACAAACAGTTGCATTTCAATGAGTTGAATGTGAAAGTGACTTTTGTCCGTCTGAAGGTCTGAATGAACCCACACATTGAGGGAGACTGGACACATTTGTGAATTTGGGGATACGTGTTCAATTCGATGAATGTTGTTTCTCCGATCTTTGAATAGGAAAATATCTCAGAGTTGTTGTATCAGTCGATAAAAGAATCCCTGTCCCGTGTTTATAATACTTTGCATTATACATGACATTTGAGTATATATACTCTATCCCCTTTATCTATTTTTCCTCTTTAGGATCACAGGTAAACTGGAGGCTATCCCAGCTGACTTTGGGCAAGAAGCGGGGTGCACGCTGGATTTTGTATTTCCTATTATATTTTGTAAAATAAACAAAATATCATAGAAATACTTACGGTTAATCACCAATTGTGAATCAATGCCTGCCAACAGATTTAATAGTTCCTTTTTTCCCCACAGCCTTGAACACTTCCATTACACTCTGTGTGTGTGTGTGTGTGTGTGTGTGTGTGTGTGTGTGTGTGTGTGTGTGTGTGTGTGTGTGTGTTAGAATGAGGAGCAATGGCTCTTTTTTTTCTGCTTGAGTGTGTGTTTCCCTCTCTCTCACCTCATTACACACTTGGCTGTAGTTTCTGCTTGCTGAACTTTGCTGCCAGCAAACTCATTTGCAGCCTTTAAAAAGAGCTCAGGGCTAATTTGTTTCACATTGCGCTCATATACACTTCCCTCCTCCATATTCATAGTGTATATTTATTTAGTGTTTTAGTGCTCAGTAAATGTGGGGTTCGCCAGCTGAGCCTTGACTTTAGCGCGTGTGTCTACTTTTGCCTGAAACGACCTCCTCTTAAAAAAGTCGGTTTTGATGTTTCTTCATGATTTATGGACAAATTACTCACCTCCCCGACAAAAATGTAATATGAATACAATTACATTTTTTTTGTAATTTGAAGTTGAGAGGGATACTGCTAGCATGCTGTGCAACAAAAACAAATTTGCTTGACGTGTAACCGCCACCCAAATAACACAACTGTATTTATTCTTTTTTGTTGTTGTTGTGTGTGTTTTTTTTTAATATACGTTCCCTATTTTGTTTTCCCTTACATGTCAGTGAGCCTTTTAAAAACTTTTACCAATTATTCACGGGCCATTGTTTTCATTATTCATTCATTTTCCGAACCGCTTGATGCTCACTAGGGTCGCGGGATGTTTTCATTATTAAAAGGCAAAACACACACACAAAAAAAAAAAAATGTTACCCTTTAGGTACAGCAACACAAAAAGTTGGATGATGATTTGGATCAATGAGTCTTCCCTTATGATGAAGGGACTTACCGCGGTAAGGATCGGGTTGGCTGAGGTCTGGCGAGGTGGCCGACTGAGCCGGCAGCTGAGGCACCTGACCCGCCGCCATCGAGTGGCCACCACGTAAAGGACCCATACTGCCGTCTTCTCTGTGAGAGCTCACCTTGGGGGACAGACAAAAGGAACAAAATGACTGAACCAGGGTACTGTAAATTTTAACTAATTGGTAAATATTAATATATTAATCACCACTTAAAAGTTACAAGCAGGAGATATTGCTGTGCGTTTGGGAATTGGGTCTTAAAATGTAATGTCAAGTAAAACTGAAAAATAATAAATTAAAATCTGTTTCCCACTGAAGCTATGGTAATTGTGCTGTAGCATGGATACATTATTCTCATTTTTGTCTTTGCGTCATTTTCTCACATTAATTGAGGTGTACGTATGTTTTTTTTTTCTTATATTATTATTTATTGAATACTTCGTTCAAGCTCGTGAGCGTTAAAAACCTGCTTCCGGTCTTTTACTCCCAATTGTTGTAGTTCTGCCTTTGGCCTGCTGGGGGCATTATCTACCTTTCTAAGAGGCCAAACTTCGAAGGCATCCTGTGTGTGACTGTCCCATTGAATCTGCCTGTTAGAACATGTATGTTTGCAACTTGTGTGTGGGCTCTTTTTGTTCATTGGTGTTTGCCGGGCCATACAGTGAGTGGGGTGCATTTGTGTGTGTGTGTGTGCGCGTGTGCGTGTGTGTGTGTGTGAGAGAGAGAGAGAGCTTGGCTGCATCCTATCCATCTGTCGGACACGCACGCACACGACAACACAACAACTGACAATTATCTCAATGCCCATATGTTTGATTGTGGGATTTCTAATTCCCAGGGCACCAAGCAGCTTCCAGCGGAGACTCACTGTTTTGGCACGAGATGGGATGATCTCTTTAAGTGTGTGTGTGTGTGTGTGTGTGTGTGTGTGTGTGTGATGGGGGGGGTGTGCACGTTTGTCTAACGATGCCGGCTTCCTTGTGGGCATCCTTAAAAAAGGTCTTACACCCTATACAGTTAAAAATCTTTGTTGTACTTTGAGCAGGCCATAAAAAATGAAAATAATATAAATAAAAGTATTCGAAAATATATGTATAGCTTTTTTTTTTTTTTGGGACGAGAAGCTAACTATTGTACAGATGATGATGCGTAGTTTTTATTCAGATGTGATGTCTCTGATTTGTGATTTGTTTCCACTCTGGGGAGAAAAAAATCTTTATCGACTCTTGTCTCGAGCTGAATGGGTTCCGCTTTTCGGTGTTCGGTGCACATAATGGACTAACAATTGAACTAACTGAAGCCAGAGGGCTAAAGTGAAAACGTCATGGAGAAATCAATGTATTCAAGTAAGGCACGCTAAGCCAGTGGCAATGCAAGATGGCCGCCGATGGCTTCGCTTCACTTTATGCTGTGTAGGCGGCATTTTTAGTCCAATACAAGTCGGTGGTTCAATGGCATGTCCATTTCCGGTCGAGAGATAAATGCATCATGACAACAATGGCAAAATTACTGAAAGTTAACGTGAGAATGGTGCCCGAAGAAATGGATCTGCGGCGCAAATCCTCAGAGTAGTGTTTCGTGTTTTACATCATCGTTCCTCTGCGAGTTTGCTCGCGTTGGTTGCTAGCTTACGCTAATACTGCTTGGCTGACTTGCTCAAATTCTCCCAAACATATCCATTTGCCGTGACTAATTCAGTGGCCGGCAGTTGAAGCCGAAGGGATTGTTGCAGATGTTATCCCAAGGACGCAGTTGGCTCATCGGGCAAACCAGCCACCGAGCGTAAAGAATGGAGTGGTGAAGGAGAAAGTCAGACCATATAGGGGGACATTTTAGAATAATTCCAACAAAAATATTCTTGCTATTTTCACCACTGGGGCTACAAACAGCGCAGTCGCAACAGAAGCTTTGCAAATGTGGAGAACTTAAAAGACAATCTGCCAATCAGATTGAATTGCACAAATATTAAAATACATATAAACTTTGAAAGCGTTGTCGCATTTGGAAGCATCGCTTGCATCGTCACGCCCGAGTGTGAATAAAAGTGTGGTGAAAAACAAAATCCTTTGTCTGTTTATGAATCACACTGGCGAGCAACAAGGTCTTGCCAACCGCATGCCAACGTCCCCTCTCATTGCAGGCACAATTTTTTCGTCACACAAAATGTCGGCCACGCGTCGCACGACGGAGTGTCATTCGGTGCTCGCGTATCGTGTCTCCCATCTGTCCGTCCAAACATCCGTGCGTTGCCTTACGTCGGATTTTGCCACTCATCCTTCTTCCCCCAATCTCCGTCTTTCATCATCGCCTGGATTCCCAAACGTACAATGGCAGCGGAGAGGAGAAAGAGAGGCCGGCGTACATTTTTAATGGAGGGCTTTTATATTTTAACGAGCCTTCCTTCTCTCTTCCTTAATTTGGTTCAACGGGGACGGCAAGACGAGGAGACAGACGGCAGCGAGAAATATAAATAAATAAGACAAACTGCTAAATCTGCCGTTGCCATGAATTGGAGCCACGCCCTCACACCCCATCATTCATCAGGTTCCAGCGAGACCTCCGATTAGACAAACCATAAATCCGATCGCGCACTACAATAGACCGGAGGTATCATTTGGACTTTTTTTTGTCTCACTGTTGGCAACCAATAGTAGGTCAGTTTGTCAGCTTTTATGACATTGCACAATCCGTTAAATCCGAACCAAGAGGGAACCTTCTCAAGTCTGATGTGTTCATGTATTAAGACTTTAACAGTCACTCCCCGCTTTGAACTTTTATGTTTATGAGGCATAGGAAAAGTAATCAATTAGTCACTAAGAATTTGGTGGACTGCGTGGAAGTGCTTGTTGATTAATCGCATCTCGACACCGTGACTGAGGCCAAATGAAGCGCTGGAAACAGCTGAGGTGCCGTTCGTTGATTCAGGCTTCACCCGTTTGCAGCCTAACAAGGTCAGTTAGCTCACTCTCATCATTCTTTTTCTTGATTCATATTTTTTAACAGAACTCCAAGATTTCCTTTCACCCATCAAAGAAATTTAGTCCAATGCCCATCGCTTGGTTTTTTTTTTTTTTTTTTTGCTGAAATAAAGTCACATTTTAGTTATACAGGAAAACCTTGATGTCAAGTAAGTCAAGGAAGATTTAAAAAAACATGTAATTGCCACTATTAGAAAAACCAAGAGAGTGAACTTCCAAACGCACACATGGGAGAGGCTAAGCGGTAGCGGCTGTGATCAATGCCACATTGCTAATTGGATACATAGATCCACTTACATTTTTTTCGACCTGTAGCCATAAGTACTTGAGAACAGTATATCTACTGTGCAACACTGCAAACTGAAGGAAAGCACCTGCTATTGCACGAATGCGCACACACACACACACACACGCACACACATACATACACACACACAAACACACACACACACACACACACACACACACGATCAGGAAAAATGAGCAAGGAAATTTTCCAGGGTTATGGCATGCACACAACGAAGCGTATTTTTCAATTTTTCTGCGGCTTTGAGAAGCTCAGTTCGATAATTCGAATGTTAGAAGATCAAAAAGCTTCAAACATAACAAAGAGCGCGGATGTCTGTCCTCCATTTACTGTAGTTCAGGTAGAAGCCTTTGTTTTTTTTAATTAAAAACATATTCCAAAGGAAATAAAAGCAAATTAAGAATAATAATTAAAAAAAAAAAAAAAAGATCCTCCCATGGTTTTGTTGTTGTTGTTGTTGTGCACAGACTGTTCATTTTTGTTGGAATGAACGTCAGTGAAATGGCGAGCGACTATCGTGGCTATACTTGAACGACTGTTTTTGAGCACGCGGTCCTACAAGACCTGACAACCTGTACACATCGTGCCCATTTATGGATATCGGCTCGGCACGCAGCTCGGTTCATTCTGATCATCTCACACGTGCTTTCATTCAGGAGGGCAATGAGATAAGAGCACATGTGGAAGCAATCGCGCAGTTTCACAACGTGTCAAGAGTCCAACGCATTCTTGAGGACCTCGAAGGCCGCATTTAAAGCAATGAAGGAAGAACACTGGTGATTCTCCACATGTCGGTGTCATTTGGACATGGGGCGGAAAAAAAAAAAATACTGTCTTTATTAACATTGCATTTTGCATTCAGTACTTTTCGACTGCTGGTTTAAAATTGTTCGAGTCCATTACAGCATTTTTAAATGGATAACGGTATGCAGAAGCGATGAGAAACGGGATACACAGTAGTTCTGCATTCTACTGGACATGTCAAATGCAGTATTGTGTGTATGTATGTATGTAAGTTGAGGAAATGGCCAAGTATTAGTCTCTCTCTCTCTCTCTCTCTCTCTCTCTCTCTCTCCCACATCCGTCTGCCACCTGTTTTCCCAGAGTTATGACCTCAGTCTGCAGGCGTCTCTCCCAAACAAAGCCAAACTACATACAGCTGTGTGTGTGTGTGTGTGTGTGTGTGTGTGTGTGTGTGTGTGTGTGTGTATGCACGATCGTGCATGTGCACGAGTGTGCGTGCATGAGTGTACGCATGGGTGCATGTGAATGAGACAGCGAGAGAATTAAATCAAGTGGTGCCTTGAGATATGAGTTTAATTCATTCCGTGACAATGCTCGGAATGCAAACCTCTCATATCTCATCTCATCTGTCCCCCAATGAAATGAACGGATATGCAAAATGACGACAAACTTTGTTGTAAGGCTTATTTTAACAAGGAAAAATAGCACTCAATTATAGGATTCTGTATAACATGGGATAAAACTATCGGGTAATTACATAACATAACATTTTACAGTTGTTTTCACACTGCATCAATTGATTCATGCTGTTGTGGCCGCATTGGCCAACTGGGGCAGTATAAAACAAAAGGATATATTGTTCATCGATGCATCTCAACTCCTCAGCTCGGCAGTTCAGCACTAATATTCGTTTTTCTTGACAGATGATTAAGAATATATGACCATTGGTACATATTGTCTGTCTCAATGTGCTGCTGCACCGTTTATGTTGAATCAACTGCTTAAACGGCTCCGTAACAGACGTCTAATGTAGCTTACTTCGACCATATTTATTGGGCTGAGCTTTTGCTTTCATTTCAATGACCGATGTACAGTGCAGTAGAGGTACAGGGTTCGATTCTGGCTCCGGCCTCTCTGTCTGGCGTTTTGCATGTGCCTACGTGGGTTTTCTCCGGGTACTCCGGTTTTCTCCCACATTCCAAAAACATGCGTGGAAGGTTAACGGAGCACTCGAAATTGTCCCGAGGTGTGATTGCGAGTTAGCTTTGCTTGTTTTTCTTTCCATTGGAACACTGCTTAATGTGACTCACTTCCTGCGATTATGTTTTTAATGAAGCAGGCAAAAAGCAGTCAGGCAAATCACGGGCCACATCCTGCCCCGACTTCAACAATGCAACTCACCGAGCACTGACATAACGTGCAATGACGCGTTGTGCGAAACCACACCCACTGTCGGCAGATTATCACGCGCAGACATCTGTGATGAGGAAAGCAGGTGTTTGGGTTGAGTCTCAAGCCGCAGCTTTGTGCTTCCTCATCATTTTCAACCTGAACGCGTCTCTTTAACATTACGTGTACAACAGAAGCAATATGCTTACTCGTTGGAATAAAGACAGAGGTGACAAGAAAATGTGTTTGTCTGAGACAAAGACGCAGGTACTGGGACCCGGGTGACACGCGCGCAGAGGCGCACAGGCACACGCCTCTACAGCAGGTGTTCTCCATTCAGAGAAAACACTTCCAAGTAAATGCTACCAGCTCGACCGGTGGGAGTGTGACACAGCTCCTGAACTGCTCCGGTGAGGACAGCGCAAAGGTATCACAATATAGCATCCGTCGCTCGGCCAAAGCTCAAAACAAATTCTTCGGTGGTATAAGTCAGCATTTCTTCTGCTCATCACTCCACCAGGTTTTGTGGAAATGGGTTGTAGGAAAACACACCTCACCGGAAAGCAGACCTCCTTGGCAAAGGTCAAACACTCCCATTTACCTTCATCCCATCAGAACAAGCCAAATCAACGGTGGCGAGTTTGAACCAACTCAGACGGACGCAGACTTTTAAGTTTCTAGGGGGGGAGACTATCGGAGTAGCACCGTGATATTTAGAATTTGTTTTATCTTTTCAGACTTGGACATTTTATTTTATCACAGTGACGTCGACTCGCACATTTTGACTCAATTTTGGCTACAATAGTATAATTACAAAAAAAGAGAGAACCAAACAATCCTAATGCCGTAACGGGCCCATTGCAGCCCTGAAAGTTGCTCTTTGGAAACCTGCCGGGTGACGCCACATTCTATGCAGAGACATTTTAAGGAGAAAACATGTCATGTGTGCTCGCAACATGTGTGTGTGTGTGTGTGTGTGTGTGTGTGTGTGTGTGTGTGTGTACGCCAATGTGCAGAGACAAAAACAAACAACCCGGGCCTGAATGAACGTGTTCAGGCATCGGAAAGTGTGGATGCCTTTCGAAATGTTCCTCTCTCACAAACACGCCCACGTCTCCTGATGTCACGCAGCTGTTTGCTGTTCCAAGTAGACAAAACTCACCCGCGGGTTCGTACTCAAAGAGTGCACCGCGAGCCATCTTTGCACATGAGCAAGGAAAAAAAAAAAACAGATCATCGGGTCCTACCATGAGTGAGTGTCTGTTGCCGGACAGCAGTCCCGTCCCGTAGCCGCTTCCCAGAGAGCCCATGGCGCCGTTATGCGTGTGCGCGGCCCCAATCAGGCCGTGCATGTCACCGTGCCCGCCGCTCATGGCCGTTGATGGGCCGACAGCATGGCTTCGCAGTACGTGAATGGCGTCGTCCAGGCGCTCCAAACGGTCCTCGATGCGACTTTGCTGCAGGTTGAAAACAAAAGAAGGGCTGAGACACCTCACCGAGCTCACCCAACAGAATGCCGTTCACCGTGTGCCACTTTCTCAACAAATTCCAAGTGGAACAAGGCTCGTGTTGGCTTTTGAAGGCTACTCTCGGAATTAAGACGGGTGGAAAACGTCGCACTTGTTGGGACAAAATTGCGACAATACAATGGAGTGTGAAGTCAAACTCTTTAAGAAACACCTCATGTCTATTTTCGACACACTGTGGAGGTGTTGGTCCGCCTACCAGCGAGTGCAGTGGAGCCTCATAGTTTGGCGACGATGCTCCCTGCCCGCCGTTCCTGGACCAGACAGCTGAACTGGCGGCTGGGGGAGAGAAAGAGCGAGAGAAAGAGAGAGAGAACCAGGATTGATCAGAAGAGGAGGCCATTACAGCATCAAATGGAAGGATGGTGGTGATTCATGTCAATTTCACGTATTGCCTAAATGTCAACGCAAATGGGAATAGAAAAAAAAAACGGGGCCTTTTCTTACCACCTAAAGCAAAATATTTGTTTATTTATTTAATTTTTAAAGCAGACAGCGGAATGGCGTGAAGTTCCCCAAGCTTGCAAGTCTAGCACGTCTTCTGCACATGACTGTTGACACGTTCGTGTTTCTCAATGAGAATCATTGGCAGCGATTTGATTACGGTGTTGTCTTGACACGGGGGCAGTTCCTTTTTGTTTTGACTGCGGTTGCTGACAGCGTAGCGTTCCTCGAATCAAGATTTCAGTTTGGAACAGCGTTTTGGGCAATCGGTGTCCGGCTCATCACGAGTAAACAAACAGTTTTCCTGATCTCGTGTTTTTGGCCATTATTTGGACACATTTTAGCGAGACGCTGTTCTGTATCATTATGTATTATGTATCGTTGACCGCTGATGATTCATTTTGTTATAATAAGATCACAAATTGGCGTTTCTTCAAATGCCCATCCCCAATTATCGATGATGGATGGCATGCAAAAGAAGAAAGGTTTGGTGTTATACAAAAGATCTTGACGCGCAAGAGGTCTCTAATCATGTCCACTTGTGATGTTTTGGACATGAAAGACGCAGTGACACAAAAAACAAAAACAAAAGACAAAAACAAACCAAGTCATCATATTGCCTAAGAGACGTGCAAATATCAGATGTGCGTCTTTGAAAAGAGTCGAAGTGTCTGTCTGATGAGCGTACGCCCTCAGCGAGACAAACATGCTTTGTGGAATCTTTTTTGTTGTTGTTGTTTTTCACTTTGAAAAGGTGATATCCAAATTCGACGGGTCTCATTAGCTGGTAGAGTGAGATGAGAGACACTTGTTGAATTTCCATTAAGATAAGACTTTTGAGAGTTGGCCGGCTTCAACGGCATCGGGCGCGAGAGTATTATTCTTTGGTTCAAGTAGCTTGCAAATTAATTCGAAGGGGGGAAATCCAATTAAATTGCTGAAGAACATTTGAATTGATAAGGACAATTGGAAGTCTTCAGCTTTTGCAATGTGGGAGGAAATTGCAGTACCTGGAGAAAAGCCACACAAACACGGGAGAGGACATGCAAACACAAAAGACGGAGCCCGGATTGGAACCCGCAACCACTGCATATATGTACCCTGCAATTGGTCGGCGACCGGTCCAAGGTGTGCTCCAGCTTGGCTACACTGACAAAAAAATGTCTTGAATTTACTCCATGTTATTTTATCAAGTGGCTGAAACCAGAATAATCATCTGGATTTTCATATATATTTTTCAGATGTACTGTCTACTTTAAAAAAAAAAAAAAAAAAGATTGGATCCAGAAGATTTTTTTTCCCATGCGACCACTTGACGAAATAAAATTGATTCCATTCGACACACCAATTTTTTTTCCCTGCGTAATGAGGTCAAGTGCTCCAGAAAACGGATGGATGGGTATGTGTACCAGACAGCCTGCAAATTCTTTTTTTAGATTTTGCACATCCAAATAAACGTCAGTTTTGAGCATACAATGAAACTCAGAAGGGGTCTCAGTTTCTCATCTGCAAGGACCGCAGTCGTTGGAGTCCTATTGCAGACAAAAAAATAAAATAAAAATGGCCACCCCGGCAAATGTGACTCCAGCTTTGTGTCGCCAACTTACAGACGCACGATAAATCAGCATTAAGGACAAACGGATGCGACGTAGGTGCCACACGGAGGAGATGCTACGTAACCACCAACGTAGCCAAACACGTTTGCTGTTAAAACACCGCACGACAGAAAAAGTGTATCAATAATTCACGGGGGAAGGAATACTTGGGTTTGAAGTTGACTTCAGTGGAAGTCGACATTCAATCTCCTCCGTTTTCCCTTTTTTCGTTTCTCGCACGGCATTGGAATGGCTTCGTCATTCCGCTTCCTGTCTTATCTCCCCTTTGCTTGCTCACTGCCCCGAGCTTCGGTCTCGGCTTTATATCGCTGAATTGATCTCATTAGCCCAGGTATGCCTTCCGGTGTGTTCCCCTTTTGCCTTGATTCACAATCCATGCTCATTTCCACATGCTAATTAATATACAATCACCTGCGTACATTCATGTGCAAATACAAATATAGCTATTATGTGGCAGGGCAAATTGCTTTCAGTCCAAACGCTGTCAAACACCCTTGCAGCATTATTAGCCTCGGATATCAATTTGCATGTAGTTTGCGCTAATAGGTTTCAATTCTCATTTGTAAAAAGTAGAGTGACTTTGACACAATCATAAACACCAATTATGGTTATGCAAGCAGGAGCCCAACCGGCTAGAATAGCGGAGAGCGGGAGAGAGGGGGACTGAGTGGGGAGGGTGGGGGGTTGTGGGTACGGCTCACGCTCACAGAGCCTGTAGGTTTTGTGAACAATTTGTCGAAGTGGTGCGCGTAATTAAAGCTATCTGTCACAAGGCTCGGAGGAGGAATAGAAAACGATGTGTCACTGCGACAATTAGAGACAAATTCAACACAACTATTATTCGGAGTCATTTTTCATTTTAAGGAGCAGGAGGAAAGGGTTGGAGGTGGGGCGGGGGGAGAGAAAAAAAAAACACAAACAGGTCAGCTCGTTGTATCGTGATAGTTTTATTTGATGCCGATCTCGTTTGTGTCGGATGGAACATAATTCGGCCGGTTTTCGATTCAAATCACAGTCGAGTTCCGATGATGATGATCATATGGAAAAAAAAATAATAATAATAATCTATGTATCAAGACTGAAAACGCCGTTTCTCCCTTCTCTGGTTGTTTGTGTTGCGATGTCGTTGGTGTGTATTGGAAGGATGTCGGACTTCATGTGTCTACCTGTGAGGGTGGGCGGGGAGCCCACCGGAGTTGAGGGATTGGAGGAATAGCTGTTGTTTGTGTGGTCTGGCGAGTAGATCTGAAGGAACAAAACAACCACAACAACAAAACACAACCAAATGAGTTAAGGGCTCGCGAAACCTGTAAAGAATAATTCATTGCGACACCCTACGCAATTAGAAAAGCGAGAGCGGAGTCGAGAATAATATTTGAATATTAATGAGCAGGCCTGGTGCGCGCGCGTGTGCTGTACTTACCGAGGCTAGTGCTTTCCCTAAGGCGTCTCCTGTCTGGGAGCTACTGGCTGCGCCGCTCTGTGCTCGGTTAGCTGTGACACATTCAAATGCACACACACACGCACACGCACACATTTGAACAGGGGACCGAAAAGGATGTTTTGTTGCAAATCAGGATGCGACGACATTCAAGCTACATATTGTGGCAACGTTGCTCGTCTTAAGTGGGAAAGATACATTTGCGCTGGGCAGGAAGAGCAAAACCAGAAAGGTTTTTCTCGTAGGAGCCGAGGCTAATTTCGTATGCAGGCTTGCCTGGTGACAGATTTCAGGTAAATTGGTAATCAATGAGCAAATCCGATTGTTGAAGATTTTTTTTTTTTTCCAAATGGCCCACTCGCTCACTGCTTCGGTCTTCTTTATTTTGAAAACCATACACTATATAGTGTCACGGAAAATGAGGGCTTGCGATGCCTCCTCCATATCCTGGAGCTTAGGTACAAAATACCAAATATCACTCGAGTCTTTTGATCTTTTTCCTTTTCAATTTCCCACAACAGTTCAGCTATTTCACTTTCGAAGGTGAATTGTTCTCGTACGGAGTTGCTGCAAAAGTATCTGGAATGTATCCAATCGTTGGCCGTGTCTTGAAATACGCACGCTATTGGCCGCAGAGCAGTGATGCGCAACCCCAGCATCTACTCTTGGCAAACTTGTGCCGTTTGTGGAGGGTCTCGGTCCCGAACCTTCACAAATAGACACGATTTACTGTGCAACCAAATCTGTTTCACACACTTGCAGTGTGCCGATGCCAAAGAGGAAGGATGTGACCTCAATGTACCAGATGAACTCACCAGCACACACACACACACAGGCAGATAGAAGAAGTCTGACATGCTCGCAACTCACAACTCCTGATGGCAGATCCCAGATGGAAAGTTGACACTTATCCACACAAGTTAGACATAGGCTCGCACATGAACACATACCGTATAAAGGGGGGGGGGGACATTTCACGGCAAACGATTGCATTTAAGAGTTTGGCAGAACGGGATTTCTTTCAGCGGCTACAGTCGAGGAGAGGACGTAAAAGTTGACGGGAACAGGGAAAGGAAGCAGCATGTTTTGGGGTAAAAGTCTGCCTCACAAATGCCACACGACTGGCCCGGTAAACCACATCCGAGAGGTTACAACCGTGAACCTCACGCGTAAACTCCCATCTGGAATTGTTGCACCATGTCGAGCGCAGGTGTCAAACTCAAGGCCCGGGGGCCATATCTGGACCGCCACGTCATTTTTATGTGGCCCACAAAAGCAAATGAAACCTGTCAACTTTGATGATGGTTGCGAAAATCAGTACCAACATTTTGAATTTGCTTTTGTCATAAATAACAGAGATATTGTAAGTGTTTTCTTGTTACCAAACCTCTCATGACAGCAACCGAAGACAATAGTTGAAGAAACCATGATTCGTGACATTGTTATAAGGTTTCACAGTCATAACATAAATCCGGGGGTGAACTCCTCTCAATGTCAAACACAACCCTATTCAGAACAACGCATTGACAGAAGTTTTTAAATTTGTAGCGCATTGTGAAGGTTTGAAGAAATAACACACTAGTGGACTTGTTCGCCATCTTCCTAGGTTGCACACAACAGCTATTTTATTCTGTTTCATTTTTGTGTGTATCAATACTCTGCCCTTCTCTTGGTGCGCCGACGTGTTTCCTGACAAATCACTCACATTGAACTGTGTGTGTGTGTGTGTGTGTGTGTGTGCGTGTGCGTGTGTGTGTGTGCGAACGCGTGTGCACAGGCGCAATAACTTTCTGGAATGCTGCAGATGTCTTTCCATGAAAACAAACTTTCAATCTGTTTCTTATTGCTTTCCTATTTGTTCTGTTGGACTCAAAGCAACGGCTCCATCTGGCAGGCTGCGCACGTGAGTGCGAGCGCATGCGTGTCGATGTCAAGGTGGAGACCAAACGGAGCACAAGTGTCTTATCCGTTGCAATTAACTCTGTTTTGGAAGGCTTGCTGTTTCCTGTGCTCGCAGAATTTCAATCTGTCCGTTTGTGTCCATGTCATGATGAAAACGATCCATGTGTATAGGTGGCATTTCAGTCGTCGTTTGTTTGTTTGTTTTTTTTTTTGTTTTTTTTTGGTGATCCATGTGTATAGGTGGCATTTTAGTCGTCGTTTGTTTTTTTTGTTTTTTTTGGTACAATACGATCAGTGGGTCTTACCCATAATGCTGTCTGTGCCGTTGGTGGGAGCGGTGGAGCAAGAGGCGGTGCTGTAGTGATTAGCCCCGCCCCCGCCGCCTGCTCCTCGGTGGAAGCTGGACATGGGCGGAAGGCTGGAGTTGATGTCTGCTGATGAATGCGCTGGGTAGCTCTGCACGGAAATGATAAAATAACGAAGAACAATATTTCATATGTTCACAGAAGTGCATCGAGCAGGTATGAAAAGATGACGTATCAATATTTGCGATGATGAGATCAGCATCTGGAAAACGGCGCCGTTGTGAAGTCAATCACATCTCGGCTCACCAGTCTGTCGTGAGGGTGAACGCCACAGTAGGAGGAGCTCTGGGAGGGGCCATGGGCGGCGTTCCCGCCTCCCAACATGCTGCCGTGGTAACCCTGTTGGCTGAGATTGCTGCTACTACTGCTCCAGGGTTCGCCGCTGTGGTGACCATCTTAAAACGAGTCAAATAAAATGGCACACGTGACATACACAATCGTGGGCTTCTTTTGAGTTTCGGCTCACGTAAAGCAAAACATTAAGTCATCTGTATACAGAATGCAAAAGAAGAAAAAAAAAAAAGGGGGAAATCGGTTGTGAAACTTTTTTCAGCTTCCAGGGTTGTGCTGCTGGCCAATTCAAGTAAATGTTTCAAGTGTAGAGAATATGATGCGACATTTTTTTTTTCCTACATTGAGTGTACCTGGCATAAAAAATGAACTTGGGAAGCCAGAACTCGTTGGTTTGGAGTTGGGATAGCCCGGTGAATCCCTGTTGTAGTCGGCTGTGCTGGCAGATGGAGCGTATACCTGCAACAAACAACACGGACATCTCAGAAAGACTCGCACAGACAGTCTGTCATCTCTATTGGCTGATGGTTCTGGAGTGAGACTTGATTGACACATCCCTAAATAGACTTGTTCCTCAAGGGGAGGCGGGGCTTAACGCATTTTCCCGGGGCCTCTGCCTGTTGTACGGAAAATACACTCAAGCCGTTCTCCGCAGTCCATCAATCCAGTCATCCGTCCATCAATTTTCCACACCGCTTATCTTGTTCAGTGTTACAGGGTGAAGCCTAATGCCAACTGACTTTGGGGTGTGAGGTGGATTGCAACGTGCGGCTCACAAGCCGCGCAGAAAAATCACCGTTCACACCGAGTGAGAGCCACAGTTGCACAATTTCCGAAAGAATTTTTGCTGAGCGTCACAAATTGCGGAGCTCCATTCGCAGTTGTTTTTAATAATGACAAGGTTCAATAAGTACACTCAGAATTTTTTTTATACATATACAGTAAGCAATGTAAATATTCCGTGGCGCCCCATTTTTTAAAAAGCGCGTAAGTAGAAGAGATGTTTACATCTGCACTGGAAAAAAAATGGTGCCTTGGATTAACTCATTTTATTTGGCAAGTGGCTGCATACAGTAGAATCATCTGTGAGCATTTTTAATATCAAGTAGATGTTTGGCCGCCTTAAAAAAATGTATCTGGATGGACATGATTTCAATACCTGCAACCATTTGTTAAAAAAAATCAATTCAACATCCCATTTGTTTTTTCCATGCGTGGAGCTTGTCGAGCTGAACAATCTTGCCTCACAAAAGGCTTGTGTGCACGTACACTAAAAACACACCCATGGCAAACAAGCTCCAACATAATATTGTGATGCACTGATAGTTTGCTTCAAAATTCTTTTGAGAATAACCATTCACTTGACCGACCCGACCCGCCCACTACTTGTGACTAAAACGGCGTTTGACAAAGCAGTCGCAACACGTTTTCTGCCCTCCTCTTACTCAGGCCCGGTTTGATGTGCAAAGGAGGAACAAAGCGTTGATTTTCTTCTCGGAGGGGGAGCAGCAGCCGAGCGGCGTTGCGCCCTAAAATGCAGTCAAAAGTGAGACGCCGTGCAGACGCGCAGGCCTGTTATCACTCAAAACAGGTGACGTTCTTCCCCACGAGCGCAGCGGCCACACGGGGAGACCAAAGGGGGCTCGCCGTTACATTCCTCCGCTTGTGCGTGTCAGGAAGTGCGTGCGCGCATATAGCGTGCAAACACTCAGCCATGACGCGAGCTCGCGCCGGATGACGCAGGCCCCGGAACAACTGTTAGAAGCTCTCCTCTCCTCCCACCATCTCTCGCCGAACACTTTTACCCCATAAAATCAATACGCGGCGGCGAGCATTTCAAATTTGGAGTGTTTTCACGTGAACGCGATATAAATGGGCTGCAGATGCAACGATGAAACGCAGATGACCTGCAGATGAAAGGAAAAAATAAACACTTGGGGTGCTACGAAAATCTATTGCCTTCCTCAGAATCAGTATTAGAAACAGAAATTGTCTGGAAAATAAAATCTGACAAACTCTTTCCGTGCTCAGAATCTGATTTTATTGTTCACGCGATTCAAGCGGAGGCCCGCAACAGCCAGACGTGCGCAGGTGTGGGAATGAATGAAACAAATGGCTCAAATTGAGTTATGAATATGGGATCTGCTGACGTGGTGTTGCGTCAGAACCCCCCGGAGATGAAATTGGAAACATCGGCCCCGCTGATGGAAGCAAAGCAACAAAGTGAGGATTAGCATGAGCCTGTCACCCAATATAACACGCTTTAATCATGGGTCAAGCATGGCCTTGACACGTCCAGCTATTGCCGGCGTGCACGGCAAAGAAGGAATGTTTCACGACTCGGTCTCTGCAAAATGGGTGCCTCACTCCAGTTCCCATTTATTGATATAGACGGTATATTCTCGCTTATTTCCCGCCTTGGTGCAGTCCAATTGAACTTGTGTGAAACTTCCCCGCAAAATAAAAAGACTAAAACAAAACTAAAGGAGGCTGCACTGATGATACAAACTGCATTAATGATTTTTATTTATTTCTTTTTAAATGCTAAATAACTCTTCTTTTGTTTTCTGGAACAAACAACTTCAGCTATCAGCACTGTCAGCTAACAGGAGACACCCACATATTCCTAATATACTCCCACTCCCCTTTTCAAAAGGCCTGTAAACTCATTTGACATCTTTGTTTTCTGCATCCTTACATTTTTTTTTTTTTTACTGTGTGAACACACGTGTATCAAACCCGCAACGGACGGGTACAGTGTTACAACTGATTTTGTCCTGAGAAAGTTGAACTGCCGGCGCAAAGGCCCCATTTACAGACAACACGCTGCAAAAAAACTATTTTAAAAAAAATGGATGGAGCAAGAAGGCCAGGAGAGCTTCTGCTGAACTGTTGTTGCTTCCAACAATCGGGCCCACAAATGCACGCGCACACGCAGCCTGTAGTTGAGATTAGAGCTGAACTTGAATCCCCTCAAAACCCCTTCCTCCTTTTCTGCTGTGAGAAGAGAAATCTCTGATCATAAAACCACATTCATTGACACGAATGCCACTGGAAAAAAACACACACACACACACACACGGGGATATGTTTTTCCGGCGTTTAAAGAATTTGAATTTATGTCCCAGAGACATTTTTTCCCATTGAATATGTTGTTTCAACTGCTGACGAAAGGACGTGATTTGTGTGTGTGTGTGTGAGTGTGTGTGTGTGTGTGTGTGTGTGAGCTGGACATACAGAAACAGGTGCAGCGGAGTGTGTTCAAGTATAAAGAATGCAAAGGGACCCCAATAACAAACTTTTTTCAAACACACACACACACACACACACACACACACACACACACACACACACACACACACACACACACACACACACACACACACACACATTCACACACACAGTGGTATCAGTATTCCCATTGTAAGCCGATCCGAAGCCAGTCGGAAAGCTCTTAATAGTGTTGTCACTCCTTTCACAACTGCTAAACTTAAGATGTCAGGGAGAAGAGGAGGAGGGGGGGGGGGAGATCAGAAACCTCAACGGAAAGCAGTCAAAACAACGGTAATAGAAATGTAGACAGAATTATCACCCCGCATTACTCTTCAAATTCTTCCATTCGAATTCGAGACGTCAGAATATTTCAAGACATTGTTTTCAAAATGAAGTTATGATGCAATGTCTTCAGATTCTTGCAGGGAAATCTGGAGAGTTCTTATCCGATCTATGCGACAGTGCACAACGCAGCGAGGGTCCACTCAATTATAATTACCGATGAATAAAATACAATCGCAATTTAAAATGTCTAAAAAGGCCAAATGTGTTTTGTGTTTTGCTCCTGACGGCTGCAACCCATCCCACGAGTTGATCCATTTTCTAAAATCCGATTGCCTTCAGTTCAATTGACTTGAGAATCTACACAGGTTGTGATGCGAGATCCACGTGGACGCTGTTCATACCGAAGAGCGACTTGGCAAGACGCCGAAAATTCCCACCTTCAAGAAGCAACGTGAAAGTGGAGAATATGAAATGAAAACAGCAGACCTAGTAGCAAACACCACAACCGTCAGTCACCTTATCCAACGGAACAAACGCTCATTTGAATATCCTGTATGCGACACCTAAATGGACAAGCGGGAAGCGTCGACATTGGACAAAACAATCGCGAGGCAAACAAAAACTTCCAAGCGCACGACAATCACGCCGCGTTCCGCCATTCTTGTTTTGACGGTGATGTCACAAACCCGAGACGCATGCCCTGCATTTTGACAGACAGCTGACCGTTTACAGCCGTCATCGCGCATGGAAAGTGTTCGGGGAGCTAACGTGAAGCTAGCGCCAAGTCACGACAATAACGTGGGCTCGATGGAAATATTCTAAAGTGGAAAGCGGAGATGGTGTAACGGCGACTTGCGAGGTGGAAACAAAAAAAAATAAAATCACCACTGCTCCCGAGCCATATAAAAGGTGTCATGTTGGGATATTTCCGTTGACTCGGACTTGTGACTCATCAGATTTGACTCTGTCACATATATACGACTCCACTGAACACACATCAAAGCGGACATCGAGCTCTTTTGACAGATATACTTGACTGTATCGCACCAAATGACAACAACAAAAAGAGGCCAAAAGAGCCATTGAACGGACTCATGACAGTTCAACCTGTTGCACTCCGTGACGGACCGATGATACAGAGCCAAATAACAACCCAGTGGAACCTGTGTTCGCAGAACATCGCAGACCGCATCAAAGCATCGCCCTCGGCAACGGCGGCAGAAAATAAAGACACATTCCAGTGAAAACTGATTCCTCATGGGGCTCAGACACACACACACACACACACACACACACACACACACACACACACACACACACACACATACCCCGCACACAAGCAGCAGCTGTGTGCTCGCTAATCTGAATCACAGGTAAAAACCAAACGGTTTGTTGGAGTTCTTTGGAATTAGCATACAGTCTTCAGAAATAATCAATCATGGGGATGAGAGGATAGATGTGAAATGTCTCCTTCCCCCCCCCCGTCATGTAGCGATCGATGGAGACGCACTGTCCATGATTCCTTTGAAAACAACGAGACGGAAGAACGAGCGCTGTGAGAAATGTCTTCCGTCATCCGTGGCGGCGATTGCAAAGGAAACGCAAAGGAGCATCGATGAGTATTTGCTTCAGAGTGGAGCATGTTAAGAACTTCGTAGGAAAGCAAATGAAAAGGCATTCGCTGTTTTCCGTTCAAAGTGGACTATTGCTGCATTCCGCAGTGTTGGGAAGTGGCATATCTCCCACTTGGAGCACCTCAAGGTTAGCATTCCGGCAGAAAGAAGAGACGAAACATGTCTCCTGACCTCAACGAGCACATCTTGAGAATTGGAAATATTTGATTGTGCTGAGTTGAGAAGAAAAAACAAAAAACAACCCAATAGATATGCTGACGTTTTATA